CTGCGTCTTCTTGATGGAGTCGATGGCACTTTGAAGTTCACTGAGGTCGGCGCCCTTCTTCCTCAGCCGACTGCTGAGTTTACTTTTGTGTCCTGCAACAGAGTTCATGTCCACAGTCAACGAAGTGAAAGGTCAGGGCGAAAGGTCAGGACGAAAGGTCGGGAATAAAGGTCAGGACGAAAGGTCAAGATGAAACGTCAGGAAGAACAACAACTAAAGAAACTACAGAGGACGGAGGACAGTCCCTTTTTTACGCTCTGGCTAATTCTTACCATACTTTACTTCTTATACACCAAATATTACTAAGATACTTGGTTGAAGTACTGAAGGAGTACGACGTGTTTTAACGACTCACGTTCACTTCCAGACGAGTCGTGACGGTCGGGTTCAGGTGACGAGCAGCCGCTCTCTGGGCTTTTGGCAGCGTCACTTTTATGTTTCCTCTTTGGCACCGTTACCTAGAACACACACACACACCAACACACAAACACACCAACACACCATCACACACGCGCACACACACACACATGTTCAATAATCAGTCACAGACTTTAGATGAACATTAATAAAATACTGTGAGAACAAAGAAAACAGAAGATTAAATAACAAACGTGTGACAGTGTGAGTTTCATCAACAGTTACAACACACACACACACACACACACACACACACCATAAAGACATGCAAACCACACACACATCAGCAAAGCAGACGAGCAGCTCCATGATCAGAGACAGAGACGAGTAACAAAGACAAGCAGGCAAGTGAGGAAGATGATGATGAAGAAGATGATGAAGATGATGATGAAGATGAAGATGATGAAGTTGCTCTTCTTCATTTGGTAAAAACCCAGACCAGTCTACGTCCGTCTGTGGTCTTTGTTTTCCTCATTCCTAATGACCTGACACATTTAGGCACATACTGCCACCTACTGTTCTAGAGCGTGTAGTGTCATGGTGTGACCAGGTGACCGTCTGGGACTAATTAGATTCTTTACAGTAACAGATCAAATGGTTGGACGTCATTAACCAATGACGGTTGAGACCAGTTTGAACAACTTCACCCGCCCCTCATATAAAACACAGGTCAAAGGGCAAAACACAGAGAGAGAAGCAACAGAAGTGCAGAGAGACAGCCGGAGCACAAGGGGGCGACGGCGGTGACAGTGGCAGCATGGCCGTGGCTGCAGCATGAGCGGCGGCTGAGGCGATGGGATGCGTTCAGAAGCGTTGACATCATCAACATACCTGGCACTTGCAATTGTCGCGCCGCGGGCCCTGGTTACTCAGACTAATAAGACTGCCAGAACGTACCATGGGGGTGCGGTGTCGGACCTTGGTCTGGATGCAGCCGTCTTTCTCAAACTGGATCAGGTCGTTGAGAGGATCCCACGGCCTGGTGCTGGAGGGGGGAGGCA